AACAGTATGACGTCTTCGGGCTGAATGTCGTACAAATACATGAGCGAAGACATGACCGAATCGATGTCGGCGTACAGATGCTCTTCGTATGGGTGACCACTGCTCAGGCCATAGCCGGTGTAGTCGTAGGCGATAACATTGGCGCCAACGCGACGGCTCAGGCGCCACACAATGCCCGCACTATAGCCCAAATCAACGGCGTTATTATGGCTGTAAATGATGGTGAGTTTGGTGTTGTACTTGGCGTGTCTGAACAGACAGGCCACTCGATTGCCCCGTCGGGTCTCCACGAAAAAGGCGTCAAATGTGTGCAAACGTCTGAGAAATACCTGACGATTTCTGTACAAAAAGTTGCCATTCATTGTAAGCGCGTCTTCATTGAGGGTTAGTAGATATTTCTGCCTTTGATTGTCGTATACGAAGTCATATGTGGCCGTCAGAGGCGGACAGAAGGCTACCGTCGATATGAGCCGTGGGATGACGTGAATCGGCGGACAACACAAGTACTGTAAGAAACTGCAGATGTCTTCCGAATTATCCACTAAACTGTTTGGTATTGGTTTGTGGTTTGAATTTGAACTTAAGTTTGAATTTAAGCTTGAGTTTGAATTGTATGGATCTCTGGGTTCAAGTGCTGCCGAATAAACCATTTCCGGGAAGTGTTGCTCATAGATGTCTGGCATCTCTTTGTTTTGGCCATTGATTTCTTTAATCACAATTTGAACGGAAGTTTTTCCTAACATTCTTCTCTCAAACCTTACGAGTGATTTGAAGAAACCGACGTTTGGTTGAGACAACTCTCGACACTTTCTACAATGAATGAACGCCTCCTTTAATGTCAATTTCTGATACTTCACTAAATAAGCTGTCATTTGGTTTGAATCGAGTTATAAATGCAAATACAACTAATTAAAGGGCTATTAATAAACAAATTATTTTTATAAAACATACCTAAAACCAGAGCAGAGGAGCGACTGATTCCGGCCACACAATAGACTATAGCTCTCCGATTCTTAGACACCACTTCATTCAGTTTGTCCGCCACTTCTTCCAAATAGGGAGAAATGTCGTCATCGGGCGTGTCGTCGATCTAAACATATTTTTAAATAATTATTGATACAAAAAATGCTTATTAATTGCGAGTAATTAATGTAATTATAATAGTATAGTATATACGGGAACTCTAATGCATTCGAGCCCTTTAACGTCATGATTAGGCACTTCATACGTGGCGTTAATAATGCATGAGATCCTGAGGCCCACTATATTCTCGCGTGTCATACCTCCAGCGCCCGTCAAATACACATTGTCTGTGATCTTATCGACCGCATTGAACGGCGGCGACAGAATCAGTTTGAGACCCTCTGGACTCTCGGCTCTAGTTATATGCAGTTCCGCTCTAGTCGTCAACTTTTTCATTATCTGTTTATTAATGTCCGTCTGATTAGACGCTGTTTTAGTCATTTTAGACGCTTTGTACAGATTTGGATATTTGTTGGCATCAATTGTGCTGTCATTACTACTACAA